AACTTCCAACAATCTTTTTTCTTTTTTTTTTTCTTTTCACATTACCTGCTAACTGGCTGGGGAACACGGTGGACTTTCAAGGATTTATCAGATTCGCCACCAATATAGACACAGACTGGACTTTCTCTGCCAAGACCGAAGACATCCACAGTAACACAAGCCAATAACAGTGTTTTATTGTAGAAGTCTTTAGCTTTAATCTTCTTTTTATTTATTTATTTATTTTTTGGCAAATTTTTACAACAGATTATTAGAGCTGAGGAAAAAAATAATAAGAGAATAAAGTCGTAGAATTACGAGCATAAACTCGTACGAGAATAACATCCGACTTATACGAGTATGAAGCACTAATATTACAAGCATATTAACTTGAGAATAAAGTCATAATAACACCAGAATAAAATATGAGAACTGGTAATATTCTGATTTTATATTACCAGTATAAAATTGTAAAATTACCAGAACAAAGTAGCTCCAATGCAAGAATAATGCTATAATATTACCAGATTAAAGTCGTAGTAAACAACATCAGATTATTATGAGTAGCAGGACACAAGATGGATAACAATCTGATGCTGATGTATTAACAGACTAAGTTTGTTCTTATTTCTAAAACCTGCTTTACTCTGCTAATATATGGCTTTATTCTCATCATTTTCTCAGTTTTGTCTTCGCTTGGCCCTAATACCTCGTTGTAAATTTCCCCAAACCCAACAGCTCACTTTTTGAAAACATTCCATTAACAATTCACGAGCGTCATCCACGTTAAAGCCGCCTTCTCGCGTCCCGCCCTCAATGTCAGCCATGGAGGTGGTTGCGGCTGCGAAAGCTGTCCAGATATTTAAAAGTCAGTGTGAGTCTAACTGGAGGCGACGGTGAAATCTCATATCATGGCAGATTCATGTGCCAGAGTTCAGAGAATGCCAGCTTATTGTTATTGAAAAGGTCAGCAGGCTAGAAGGAGAATAAAACGTCTTCACTGGAGCAAGCAGTTTGTGTGTGTGTGTGTGTGTGTGCAGCGTGTGTGACGCTGTCTTCCTTTATCTGTGATCCTGGGATCGAGGCCGCAACCTGAGCTCACTTGAGCGCCACGCCCTCCAGCTTCTCCCTCCCTCCTGTCGGGCCTCGGTGTCCGTTACCTTCAGCTCTCCAGGAAGTAGAAGCCAGGCAGCAACGTCCTCTGTGAGCGCAGAAACATTTTTTTATTTTAAATCAATCGCCGGAGAGATGATTTTCCCCGATAACGCCAGCATACAATAATTACCCGAATGCACAACGATCCGACTCATGATATGAGCGTTATTGACACTGCAGCGGCTGATCGGCAGTGGCTGAAACATCAATGATAATTGTTTCCGTGTTGATCTGGAGCCGCTCTTCTCCGGCCGAGGTAAAAATAAAGCAATCGCAGAGGATTGGACTCCGAGGCTAGGCGGCGAGGTGGTGCGGGGAGACTTTTGAGAGGGTGGGGGAGGGGGGTCATATTTCACTGATGCTCGTGTGATTTGTGATCCGCAGAGTACAGCGGAGAGAGGAAATGGCTTCACGGGACCCGGCCGCCGCCTGGTTAATCGAGGCCCTCCTATCGCATTGACCGCCAGTGCAGCGGCGCAGCACAAACTGCCGCTAATTCAATAGGCCGTCATCAGCCTGTTGGGAGACTGGCAGTAATAATCGTAAACCTAGTTTTGGCTGTGTTTCTCCAGAAATAGGAATCCGATGGCTGCTGGTGTTCATCCAGGTTTTGGATCGTTTCGTTGCTGCAGAGCAAAAATAGTGAAACCAGAGTTCCTTTACATTTGTCATTTTAAAAATGCGAGACTTTTACAGAGTCAACTTACTGATGAGTGCAGTAACTTCAAAAATATGCTTTCACTGCAAAATCATAAAATCTTACCGAATATTTTTGAGGTAAGACCTTATCACACTTGAAAAAAAAAAATCAAAAAACTAACTTACAAGTAACTTTTCAGCAAGATGTAGGTGCTTGTGTTGTTCCTCTAGCAGGATATATCACTAATAACATGGGAAAAATGCATTATTAGTTTAATAATCTGCCAATAGAACAAGAACTTTCTCTTAATCAATATTAAGGAATTACTGACTTAAAACAAAGTTATATATCTTGCAAAAAAAAGTTAACTGTAAGTAAGTTTTGTCTTGTCACAAGCGTATTAAGATATTAGACCAAAAATATTTGGTAAGATTTGTTGTTTTCCAAAGTGAAGTGTTGAAATGTTGACCAAGCTTTGAAATATGAAATAAAAATAAATAAATGGGGAAGTAAATAAGGAAGGAATCTTTACTATTAAATCAGAAAGTGATAATTTTTTTTTCTTTTTTTGGCATTTATTTTTCCAGAGGGACGTTAAATTAAATCAATGGACTGATCACAACAGAACTCTGTAAAAAAAAAAAAACCTCATTTTTTCACATGATCAACATAAAGAAACCCTGGCATCACATTGGCTTTGCAGCAATCACATGATCACAATCCTGGATAAACATCAGCAACCATCTGATTCCTATTTCCTGAGGAAACAGAAAACAGAACACCGAAATCAAATCACGATATTTCAGACTTTTCCGAGAGCCGTAGCGACTCCTTCGAAACGCTTCTGGCTCTTCTTGTCAGTCAACTGCTGGGCAGGCGGTCACACACGGAGTGTGATGATGCACTGAACCCTCCCCCCCAACGTCTTCAACCAACCTTGGAGTCACAGGAGTCAGCATTTTTTGAGTAGTGCCTCTGAGATGTCGTGCTGAATAATGTGTCCTATGAATAAAACACATTAGCTACAAAACACGTTGAATTATTCACATTTTAGAGCCTGCATCCCTCCTCCCCTGCGCAGGAGATATTAGTTCTTCAGTCATCTTCTGCTTTGCACAGAGTCCTCCGAGCCGCCGTCTCCCTCATGTGCACTCCTTCTTGCCTCTCTGATCATCCTTTTGCTGTTTTTTCATTTTTTTTGTCATCTGTGTTTTGTTAATCCCTCTTTGTTCCTCTATCTTTCCCTCTCAGCTGAATTTGTGCTGATGGCGACGGTCTATTTATACGCCTCAAGTTACTACTTGTTCCTGAAACATCTCCCGATTTATCTGAAAGGGCTCTCGAAAGCCGTTGAGGAGCGCGTTTGTTCTGATGGAATCTTTGATGACTTGGTAACACGCTGCGGCCCGAAATGGATTCATCATTTCGGATTAATCTGAAGCGACCAGCTGTGAATTTCAAGGGGAAAAGTGCCCAGAAGAAGCCAGCGAGCAGTTAGCTAATTAAATACTTGACCTAATATGATTTTCCTTTGCTTGTTTTGGGATTCTTAAGAAATTAGCTAACTTGAGCGTTTCAACGCATAAGCAGTCAACAAGAATCAGTGCAGAGTTTAACTTTACTCAGAGTTTATCTTGGCCATCAAAAACAGTGAGTGGATATTTTCCACTATTTTAACTGTGGATGTCCCAAACCAAAGTGTCATTACCAGGCTCCCGACCAAGGAATGTTTTTATGAACTTGTTTGAATCCCCAACTTAACTCATTTCCTGTTTTTGGTTTATTGTCAGCGATTTTATGTCTGCTACACCCGTAGCATTAGCTAATGAGTAATTTTTGTTTTAAATCCCAGCACTATTTTGTGTGGCTTGCAAAACTGTAATGTAGGCCAAGTGAATATTTTTTTTCAAAGTTGTTCTTATTCAAGCTAAGTATTTTTCAGCTTTTACTATTATGGTCACAGTGAAAGAGACGCCATCTTGGCTGCTGCACCTAAGTCGTTTAAGTAACCTGCCTTTATAGCGCTCTGCGTTAGCAAGAGCTGGAGCGCTGTTGAGTTCAAAGCAACATGCCAAGTTAATACAGCACCTGTTTTATCCACCCACCGACAACTAGAACTCTTCCGAAATATGTTGAGAGAGCCTAAATACCATAGCAAAACATGGGAGCGAACGTGCTAGCATTAGCCTCGCCGGACGCAAACGGCTCCGTGGGAAAACATTTCCAAGGTGGTTAAGAAATGTTAGTTAACCCTGTGTTGAAATGACGTATAAAAAGGACGATGTATCTGCTACAGACCAACAGATGAAGGCTCCAGAATATTAGGTGGAGCAGAATTAGAAAACTAATTTAGGTCATGAAATGTAGGTGAATACATTGAACCTGAGTTTTCAGGAATTTACAAGGCATTGATTTCTGATCGGAGTTTAATTAAACGTCCAACTGGAACTCGATGTCGTCCAATGCCTGTCGTTAAATGACGTGGATCGGTATGAAAAGTCCTGATTGTGGCATTCTTAGCTTTAACCCATGACTGCCCAAGACTTTTTAGGCTCTTGTGGCCTTTATTGTTAGCAAATGAACAGAGGGAAGGAGGAAAATATGCAGCAACTGGCCCAAAACCAAGAATCAAACAGGATAACGGCGTTAAGGACGACAGCGCCTACACCACTGGGCGCCCTACAAACTGAGTCACCCTGCGCCCAATTAGGGCAAATGTGCTTCAACACTTCGCCCCCCCCCCCAACCTGAACCAATCATAAGTAGCCACATGGACCAACAGACAAGGATGTCATTCATGATTTACTTGTCCTTAGTGTTGCCAGGGAGGAAGCGCTAATTCAAACTCGCAGAACAGAGAGGAAACGGTGTGTGATGTGTGAGTAAGGCGACTGAAGCATGTGCTTGTTTCTTCAGCTGATAAAGTCACATTTTCCAGTGTTTTCAGCGGTATCGCCACAACATCAGATTGTGTTTGCTGTGCATACTGAGACACAGCTCTCCAAACAGCAGAACATTACGTCAATGGGCACCAGCCTCAATTCCTTCAGCCACAGCTACATATCTGAGTCACACAGGCTTTTGAGAGTGTTTGTCATGGCTGTGGGGTCAGAACATGCCAAGTAGACACACAACACTTATAAACTGATGAGAAAGCTGCCTTCCCTCCCCCCTCTGATTTCTTGACAGAGGACTTTTCAGTTTTCAGTTTTCGTAACGTACTCACCAGGGCGCAGTACGTCTCCGGAGGGTCTCCGCAGGTGATGTTGGGGGGATCCAGAGTGACCTTCAGGAACTGGGTCATGTCTGCTGCCTCGGGTTGGCAGGCCATGTAGTCCCAGGTTAAACCTTCGTCCGAGTACACCTGGGACTTGCAGACATCGTAGTGGCCCCACGCTGCAGGGTAGTGCTGCATGGCAGCGTGGCACATGCCAGTCCATATCGCCTGGAGGGTCAGTGCAAACTGGAACCTCATGACTGCTCCTCTCTCAGCTCCTTCCGACGGAGCGGCGCCTCCTTCTGAAGATGTACCAACCAGAGGGGGGTGGCGGGTTGCAGTCGTCTTTTTCTGATGACTTAAACGGAGTGAGGAGGCATGTCAAACGCCCTTTTGGGCGGGGGGAGCAATGCTTGATTTAGAAGGGTTTTTCCCAGTTTCCAGAGAGGCCCAGGACTTTGAGGGTTACAGAAGATAAGAAGAGAAGACCGAGGAGGAAGAAGGGGTCTAGACAAGCCCCTCTGACACGCTGATAGCAAAATGAGTGGCAGGTCTCCTCAGCTCCCCTGGCTGTCAGTCATAGTCCGCGTCGCCGTGCGATGATCTGGCGCTGCGGAGAAACAGAAGAAGAGGGAATGTGAGGAAACCTCCCTTATGGGACTGGATTTTGACAGTCAGACAACATTAGCACGGGCCACAGCATGGGGAGCAGAGGTGTGCGTGTGAAAAGAAAGTCGGATGGGTGCGAGACAGAAGTACCACATCGGTGTTTGTTGTCCATCAAAACACAGGAGGAAGCGGTAATTGAGGCCATCAGGGTAAACCGGATCCCGCTGCTTTCACACCAAACCTTCATCGCAATCTGCGGCATCGAAACCTACAACGTTACAGCTTTCTCCAGCCTCCGCACCCCCGAGATTCTTCTCACTTCAGCACAAAGAAAGAAGCAGTGCTGCTCGCGTTCTCTTTAACATAAAGGACAAAAGCGGTGCGAGCAAAACAACAGAAAGCAGTGAAGTTATTGTTTGACTCTACTTAAGCCATTGGAATAATATACACCCAATTTGCAGAAGTATTCAGATTGTCTGGGAGAACTGAGCCAGTCTGACTTCTACACGACTCGCTGACATGCTTTCACAACCAGACTGCTTTCCACTGCTTTCCAAGCTTTTCCGCATAAAACCTCCCAGTTAATGGTGCATGTCAGAGAGACAACCGAGCCAGGTGGAGGGAAACATCCTCAGCCCCTCGAGACAGAATTGTGCTGAGGAGCAGGTTTGGATAAATCTTTCAACTTTTTCAGTGTTTAATACAACAAAACTGCTCCTCGGCTTGTACGTGTAATTTACATCCGGAACAGAGACAACAGGTCTGGATCTGCCTGTACGGCCAAATCAGACACAGGTATTCATAGAGAGGCATTGGTCCAACCAAAAGGTTTCGATACTTATCCTGGTTTGGGTTGATATGAGCATCATTCACGGCAGCTGTAGTTGTAGGATTTCATCAGAGCAACCAGTTCTAGGAGCAGGTTATAAGGTACAAGGCTTTAAAAATGTACCCCTTCGAAACTATAAGCATTTCCCATTATTCCATTCTTCCTGTGTAAAATCCTTTGAAAAATCAGAGGAATGTCCAGTAGAATTTAAAGGGTATTAATCTTTGAGAATGTGTTCTTGCATTATTATGCCATAATCATTGTATTACTTGAAAATGACCTAAAAAAAAAAACAATTTCTGGGACAATTTATCATCTAACAAAATTAGTTATTGTGTCAGGCCTAAAAATAACTTGCATGCATTTTGTCTATTGATTAGGTAAGCAAAACTTCATATAGGTTGTATTCAAGCAGTTATTACCCAGCGTCAGCCAAACTATTGACCAGACTAATATAAGTTCTTATACTTGCATTATTGTATGAAACAACAGACAAGAAGCCCAAGTTTTTAAACCATAGTCATATACACATCGCTTTTTCTCAATAATATCCCATAATATAACAAAAAATTAGGTTGACATGATTTTAATTTAACTATATAGAACGCTTATATACATACATATATATATATATATATATATATATATATATATATATATATATATATATATATATAGAGCTGGACTGAATTAAACCTAGGCCTTCACCAGCTGTCTGGATCTTGGGAATCTTCTGTTCACTGAAAGTACAAGACACTTTTACCTGGAATACGTTGCTATCCACATTTCCATCGTGGCGAATGAAGGCACAATTTATGAACTGCAGGTTACTGCAGTCAGATTCATTCTTATTCCACACAGCCAGAGAAATAATTGGAGATGACTTCTGTTAATTATTTATTCATTTCCACTCATGAAGCATTTAAAAGGTCAGCAACTCAACTATTAAAATATTATTATTAAAAATGAAAACAAGTCCTAACAAGGCATGAGGCCCGGATTTAAAGCTGACAAGCCGCACCGAGACGTATTTGAGCGTGCAGCTGCACGGATATGAAAGCATGTCATGTTTGCGTTCGCACGCGTTCTCCTGCTGCTGGTGCTGCTGACACATGAATATGAAGACGCAGAAACCACTCTGTGGCTGATACGGCGTCAGTCATTAAAGTTTGACAGCAGGCCAACAGGTCGCTTCTTTCAACGTCCAAACCTTGTAAAAAAACAAAAAAACAAAAAACAAAAAAAAAACAATCACTTGATTTTTAAGTGTTGTGTTAAATATAAATAAGAATTTGTCATTTTTATATGTTAATCAAATTTGAAGCATAACGACACATGGTTATGTGTCGTTATGCAGTTTAAATTAGAAAAATACTTTATCAACCAAAATGCTGTTGTAACTCATGTTATCCAACTTTCTTTAATTCTGAAGACTTTGTGTTTGTCCATCACTAAAAACCAGGGATTTTTAGTCAAGATCTGATATGCTAAAACTCATTTGGCCGATATTACCGATACCAATACTGATATTTTTTCCCCTGTACCTACTTACTGAAACCACACGGCTTTCTCTACTGTGGAATTAAAATACTGTATTATCTTTGTGAATTTAGCCTGCTACCAAATGCAAATGCTAAAAAGGAGGCTGAAAATGATGCAACACTCTTAACCTGCACTATTTTAATGTCAAATGTATTCATGACATTTGCTCTCGAAGGCATTGACAACACTCAAACAGTGCACATCACTGTCGTATAACAAACACCTTTTAGTTTGACAGAATGGCTGATGGCCGATATTAAATTTTACAGCTAACATCTGCCGATACCAATACCTTCTTGCCGATAATATCGTGCATCCCTACTAAAAACCTAATGAAAATAAACTGAAATTTTAGGTAATACAGAAGCATGGCAAAAGTTCAAGGGGCATTAACGCTTTTACAAGAAAAAAATTTACAGTTTTTTTTTTCCTTTAAAGGCATCAAAACAAGTTGAAGTTGCTCTTAACATCTTTGTCCCGAAAGTCTTATTTTAGCAGGCTGTGACTGCATTCCATTGTTAAAGCGGTGTAAATGGTGGATGTGGCCATAAGAAGGACCACTGTAGTATATCACACACTGTGATTTATTTCATACGCGGCAACACATCCATTTATAACTCCCAACCAAGCAAGGCCACTGGCGCACGGTGGTCATGCCCTTGATTTTTCCCCTCCGTCAGCCTTTGCTTCTTTTAAATGCCATCTTAAACACAACGTTAACAATTCCCTTCCTTTTGGAATAGCTTCATTAATTGGTCGTCTTATGTTTCGTATTGAAACTGACCTTTTAAATGAAGTTATCTGCCGCCCTGATGTGTCAGCAGCGAGCTGCAGAGAGCCAGATAGCCAAGGCCGTGGCTGGAATTATGCGAGGCTTTCCTGTTGTGAAACATGGACCTGACTCAGAGTGAATAATAGCAGCCCGAAGAGAAAAACCTGGAGAAAAAGGTGTAGAACCTCCAAGCAGTTTGATCGGCTAGTGGCCAAACAACCTGTTAAACTGTTGACTTCGTTGACAACACACTGTGTGAATACATGGCACAAATAATGTCGCTTTAAGCAAATAGGGTAGAGTTGATTCAATTTTATATGAAACAGAGTTTCTAGTCTATTTCCTGTTATTGGGTTCTGATTCTAAGGTTCTGACAGAGTCTTCTCGTGTGGCTCATTGATCTGCCCAATGTCAATCATTACAGAAGCAGCCAACCGCTGAAGTTGGTATCTGTTTTGGCAGAAAATTTCCTACAAGTGTAGCAAGCAAAGTTGAACCAACTTGTCCAAATGATTAACTTAGACAGGTTATGTTTAAAATAGAATGTTAAATTACTTTAAAGTAGCAAGTTGAAACAATTGTATCTAAAGAAATTCTGAAACACAAAGTGTTTTTCACACTGTTCTGGTACATTTGGTTCTTGGGTCTGCCACAAGCACATAACTGTAACCAAGAACAAAGTCTGCTAGAATATTGGGATCTAATTGCCTTCACCAAAAAGCTGTTTGCTGAAGATGCTTCAGTGAAGGTGAATCAGTCTCGGGTTTGATCAAGTTGAGCTTATTAAATATTTTCATAAATCTTAAAGACAAGAATTTCAGACACTGATAGCTCTGCCATGGTTTATACTTTTAGTCGGCCAAATGTTTTAGACTTATTTTTTAGTTTTGTTTTTCTTGTGTTTCAGCGGGACCAAGGTTCAGTTTGCAGGTTATGGACCAACACAAGTTGGCTTTTTTAACAAAAGAAGGGAGATGAATGTTCATGTTTCTCATTGTTTTTCTTATTACCTGAAGATGATTCAGATTCAAATCAGTTTTTAGACTCTCTGCTGAAGCTGAACTTAGCAAGCTAGTTGAAGTTTTGATCATCAAAAACTCTCTGAGAAAAACTGCTTGAAGCTGAAATAGGAAGTTCTGAGAAAACTGTGAGATTAGCCTGAACATTTTAATAAGCCCACATTACAGTAAAGTGAGCAGGGTGTGCATGAGCATTGATTGACAGCACTAAGACCCTCCTCTTGGCTCTGATTGGTTGTTTTTGACCGGGAGTGGTGCATTTCTGCAGATAGCTAGAAAAAAAAGGAGGAGGTGAAAGAGATCAAGCTTTTCATAGATTATCTGTCTCATATTAACCATGAAGACATAGTGACAGTTTTGATACAAATATAAAAAAATACATTTTACACAAGTAACAATGCTGCAGTTTCGTAACCACAGATAACGAGGTCATATCCTGAGCAAAATGTGTCAACACTTCAACAGGCCTTGCATGTTTATGCTGTTTTTCCTCTGCAGCTGAAAATCGCCCAGATGATCTTCAGTGTGCAGAGTGTAAGATTTCTGAACATGAAAAGTTGGAGAAGATACGGGCAAAAGATGAGGACCTTAGGTACCGTTACCAGAAGTGGCACAATGTGAGAAGCCCTAAGAAGGACGTGTCTCGCGTACGTCAGTCTTTAAGCAATTTTCCGCACAAAATTTAGATATTGTTTCTATTTTACTGGATAATCACAGCAGCATAACAACTAAAAGTTTTGTGTTTGTGACAGGGCGACTCTGGTGGAGGATTTGTGTTCAAGAACAGGCTGTGTGGAGTTTATGTTTTCGCTGGAGATCCAGAGTATGCACTCACTGCA